ACTCGGCCAGGCCAGGTCTCCTCGGGGAGCTGCGATTCTTCACTGTCAGGGACCAGTAAGTTTTGGTTATCTTCACCCCAGCCCACCAGAGAACCGGGGTAACCGGCTCCCTCCGCACCAGAGGCTGGACGCACACCCATCTCAGGAGACGGCATCCCACCAGCCCCCAGCACCACCATTGTGCAACCGTCCATGAGCTCCAGGTCCACCAGTGGGTCAGGGGCATCCTCCTGCACCAGTGCCGGAGAGCACTGCCGGAGGGAGCCCGGCCCTGCCGCAGCTACGGGGCTGGGAGAGGCCCCTCCGTCTGAGTCCGTCGGGGTGACGGCCGAGGTGTCCCTTTCTGAGAAGGGCTCCGTCGCTGGCTCCAGCGTGCTCAGCACCTGTGAGCTGCAGGTGATGTCAAAGTCTTCCAGATCCGACACAACGGCAGAGTCCGAAGCGCTGATGTCCAGAGGGGCCGTACACTGACAAACTTTGACTGCCGCCCCAGCCAGTTTGGCCGACTCTGGGTCCAGCCCCTCCGAGTCCATCAGGGAGATCTGAACGTCCCCACGATCAAGGATGGCCCCATCGCCCTCATCCTCGTTCAGGCACTGCTCCTCCAGCTCCAGGAACATCTGCACCGAGTCTGTGTCGGACAACTCGGGGACCGCGGGGCTGGCTGAGTGCTCCGAACTCGGAGCAAAGTCCTCGGCCTCGCACTGCACCGCTGCATCCTCAGTACAGGATGCACTGCCAGGGAGGGGGCTGCTGGCACCCCCCGGGGACGCGCAGGATCGGGAGGTCCCTGGGCTGTGGGCAGAGCCATCCGTCGGAGCAGCAAGTTGTTCCCTTTCCTCAGAAATATCTGCCAAGCAACAGCTCTTCTTCTCCTCTGCCACCAGAACAGCCTTTCCTCGCTCTGACAGCGTTGCCTCCTCCCACTCCTCCATCATCACCCAGCGCTCGTCCTCCTCAAATCTCAGCTCAGACTCTGTTTTCTCCCTGAGATTGGAGGAGACGAGAATATCCAGACCCGCATCCAGCAGCTCTTCACTAAGGCACGGAGAGAGGTTGACGTTCTCCACTGTACAGTCCGACTCGGAGGCCTCCAGGGTCTCCTGGTGCCCATCGCTGAGGCTTCCCTTGATGAAATTCTTTCTGGCTCGTGGCCAGGGGGCACTGGGAAGCCGGCGAGCCCTGGCCAGGTCCCCAGCACGACCGCGGCCATCACCGGCGCTCAGCAGGGGCTGGCATTCATCCCGGGGACCGCCGTAGCCATCTGCACCAAACTGCTTGGCCGTCAGAGCCTCTGCCGCACCGGATGACTTGGAGACGTGCTCCAAGGTGAGAGACTCAGACATGAGCTCACCATGGTCGGGCTGGCCTGGGCGCTCGGCGAGCATGGCACTCGACTCCCGCTTATCCCGCAGGGAAGGGTTGGAGGCACCTGCTTCCGACACCTCGCTCAGCGAAGCCCCCATCCTTTCTGCAAATTCGGTGAAGTTGGGCGGCATGAAGGACTTCCACGACCGCCGGTTGACGTTCTCCTTCCTCTCGGGGTTCGGTCGTCTCCTTGGCGGAGCAGGTGCTGGTTTGGAGACGTCGCTGCTGAGCTTCAGTGCGTCGAAGATGACTCGCTCGTCCAACTTCTTCGTTTCTGGCGGCCTGGACTCAAAGACGTTGGCAGCTCCCAGCGTCCCGTTGCTGGATATGGTGCTGCCGTCCCCCTTGCCAAGAGTGCTCTTGGAAAGCTGGTTGAGCTTCGATCCCTGATCGATTTGCTCGTTAATTCTCATCGTGTCGTATATCGATCTCTGGGGCACGTAGCAATCCTCTATATAACCATCCTCCTCCTCGCCCTTCCCCAGGCAAGTGCGGTTCTGCCGTAAACAGTCTGGCCGGCTCAGTGGTTTGCCCATGCTCTCGTCCTTACGGATGACAAAACCGCCTCGGCAACCTTTCGCCCGCCACCGCAGGAAGCATCACACGGCCAGAAGGTCCCAAACCCGCCGTGGGAGTCTCTAATCCCAAAGCAGCGACGCTACGGGGAGGGGAGGGTGCACCGACAGCACCGCGCCGGCTCAGCAGCCCGACCGGCTGTCCCGAGCAGCGAAACAACCCATCTCATCCCCCCGGCCCCCTTAAAAATAACCACCCATCAGCAAAAACCATCCAAATCCGACGGCTTCGATAAAATATTCCCAATGGTTGTTTGTGACAGCAACC